AGCATTTCCAAAGTAAATTTTACTAACAAAATGAAAAAAAACTGAAAAATACATTCAAATATAAAATTAAAGTTCAAATTCAAACATTTTTTTTTTTTGAAATGGAGTTTTGCTCTTGTGCAGTGGTGCTATCTCCACTCACCGCAACCTCCACCTTCGGGGTTCAAGCGATTCTCCTGCTTCAGCCTCCCAAGTAGCTGGGATTACAGGCATGTACCACCCTACCTGGCCAATTTTCTATTTTTAGTAGAGACGGGGTTTCACTGTGTTGGCCAGGCCGGTCTCGAACTCCTGACCCCAGGTGATCCACCCACTTCGGCCTCCTAAAGTGTTGGGATTACAGGCATGAGCCACCACGCCCAGCCTAAACATTTCTTTAAGTGATTTATTCATGTATTAATTCATTTAACAAACATTTATTGAGCCTCTGCAATATTCCAGACCCTGGGTTAGAAAGAGGAGATATCAAGATGAGCACAAACAGGAATCTAGTTGAGAGACACACATGGCAAAGCATTGTCATATTAGCTCCCATCCTGGGTTACGGGAGCGGGACAAAAGCAATAGTTAATGCCACCTGGAGAAAGAGCTGGCTTTAAGAGCCTATGACATCTTGTCTGAGGCTGAAAGAATGGAATATACATATTCCCACAGGTAGTGATGGAGAGTTTTCCAGCCAATAACCTCAAAGGCCCAGGGGTAATGCTCCAGGGCAAGGTGAGTGTATGTCTGAGTTTGGTAAAGGGTGAAGTCTACATAGAGATGAACCAAAAAAGATGTGGGACTGACAGGTACAAAGGCACTAATCATGAGTTTTCTGTGGGCCAGATTTTATCTCAAGGTAGCAGGATGCTGCTGAAAGGAGCACAATGTGGTCAGATTTGCCTCTCACAAGATCAATCCTCATAACACAATGGTATGACTGATGGATTGGAAAGAGGTTTTGAGCAAATAAATAAGAAGATATTATACCAAAATATATTCACAAACACCTGAACAAGAAATGGTGACTTGTAACAAGGCCGTGATCGTGCGTTGAACTAACTAAGCTTGACGATATGTGTCTGGAATTCAGGATAGATACTTAAGTCTGAGACAAACATTTGGGAATCACCAGGAAATAAATAATAGTTGGAAGAAGAAAGTGAATGTCACCACTGTATTGCAGTAAAGGAGAGAGAAAAACCTTGGCTCCGAGCACTGGCATCTCCTAGGCAGTTGGGTCAAGTAACACTAAAGAAGAAATTGCTTTCTGAGAGGTCAGAAAAAAAATAAGGGGAGATCACAGAAGCCAAGGAATAAAAATACACTGGTCAAATGATGCAAATGAATGGAATTATTATTTGGAATCAAAGTATTCCTTGGATACAGACATTATGAAAATTAAAGAGTTTAGTGTGAGACATTTCACAGGATGGTCAGAACCTTTTATATAAGCATTAGCCCAGATTTTACTCTCTTATCTCAGACTCCATAGACCTTGGGAATTTCCATATTTATGATCTTATTTGTATTTCATCTTCTCTTCAAGAGAGAGCAGATAATTTCACAGTAGCCCAAGGAGCACACTTTAGCAGGTGAGAGAAGATAACTACTGTACGTGGTTGACTGCCTCTCTTGGAAGAAACAAACCATTGTCCCCTGAGAATGCCAGAGTTGTTTCCCAGTAAAATTCTACCACTTGACTCTTCTGACGGCCAGAAGTTGATTCGCTCATATCCCCTTTCAGCAAGAGAACTAATAAATTGCCCTCAGTTTTGCTCTGGGCATATTTTTTCCGAGATTAGTTTCTCCCTTAACTGCAAGAAACTTAAGAACTCTTTCTCTAGCTAAAATATTGGCTTAATGTTGACCATCTAGTACAGTGGTCCTCATCATATTTGACATCAGGGACCAGTTTTGTAGAAGACAATTTTTCCATTGACAGGCGTGTTGGGGAGGGGGATGGTTTCAGGATGAAGCTGTTCCATCTCAGATCATCAGGCATCGGTTAGATTCTCAAAAGGACTGTGCAATCTAGATCCTAGATCCCTGGAATGTGCAGTTCACAATAGGGTTCCCACTCCTATGAGAATCCAATGCCCCTCTGATAGGACAGGAAGCAGATCTCAGGCAGTAATGCTCGCTTGCCCACTGCTCACCTCCTGCTGTGCAGCCCAGTTGCTAACAGGCCACGGCTGGGTGCTGGTCTGTGGTCCCGGGGTTGGAGACCCCAGATCTAGTAGGTTTCTGATCAGTGATGACTTTTATTGGTTTCTCTGAATATCTTAGACATATACACATTAGTATCACATAGGAAACCCTCAATATTTCAGCCAGTGTGTAGCCATTTGAATTTCTGAATTCTTACTGCTTCCACTACTAGAAACACTATATCATTTCCCCTGAATTTTTTTTCTTTATTATTGACCTCCTGCCCATTCTCACTTTGACTCTTCTGGTTGTAGCAATCCCATTCTGTCCTACTTCTGTATTCTACTGACCCAGCAAAGCTAAATGCACCCTGACATTTTCAAACTTACTTCTGAATCAGGCCTCTGACCTATATTACTTTCACAAATGATATGCCCTTTTTCCCTCTTAAATTAATAATTTTAAGACAAGTCATAGAAGACATACTATGCTTTATAAATTAAAGGATCCCCTCACCTCACATGATGAAAATATTTTTACATACAACTTTTAAAACTCAAAAGTCATGCCTGTAATTCCAGTGCTTTGGGAGGCAAAAGCAGGAGGATCACTTGAGGCCAGGAGTTCGAAACCAACTTGAGTAACATGGTGAAACCCCATCTCTACAAAAACATTTAAAAATAAAATTAACTACGCTTAATGGTGCATACCTGTAGTTCCACCAACTTAGGAGGCTGAGGCGGGGTGATTGCTAGAGCCCATGAGTTTGAAGTTAAGTGAGCTATGCTGTACTCCAGCCTGGGCAACAGAGTGAGACCCTGTCTCTAAAACATTTAAAGTAAAAATAAAAATAAGTCAAAACAATGCATGAAAGGCAAAAAAGTCACATATATTTTAGTTATACTATCCCAATAGTTTAACATTTTGTTGAAATTCATTTTTAGTTTTATTTCTAGTCAGAGATTTTAAAAATATTTGTTTTCAACACATATTGTAGATATAGTTTTGTATCATAACTTGCTCACTAAAGGTTTCTAAGTAGAAATACTAGCAAATAAATATGAGCAAAGTTAAGTGAAATTTTACTTCAATAGCAATACCTAGGTATTTATGACTCATCATAATTTTAAGTCCCTTTTTACGTATTTTTAATCAACTTTTTATTAAATTTTTAATTATAACCAGTGAACAGTTGTAAATATTGTTAAAATTGGCTGCATAAAATGAACATTTTAAATATAACATCCAGAAAACAATATTATATTTGTCTTTATTAGCTTCTTGAACTCAACTTGCGATAATTCAGTATACAATATTTAATACAATATTCAACATTTTCTACACATTTATTAAAGTGTTGTTTTAATTCTGATTGTAGAAGACTAGAAATCTTTATAATTATTTGTTTGTAATTTACCCAATTATGTATCAGAGCAGACCTTAGGAAAAGGAGAAACATTAGGCTAAAATATCAATGTTTCACTTTTCCATGAATTTCAGTCTATATCATTTCCTCTTTTTTTTTTTTTCTTGATTTAGATGGAGTCTCGCTCTGTCACGAGGCTGGAGTGGCAGTGGTGCAATCTCAGCTCACCACAACCTCTGCCTCCTGGGTTCAAGTGATTCTCCTGCCTCAGCCTCCCAAGTAGCTAGGACTACGGCCACATGCTACCGTGCCTGCCTAATTTTTGCATTTTTAACAGAGACAGGCTTCACTATGTTGGACAGGCTGTTCTCGAACTCCTAACCTCATGCTCTGCCCACCTTGACTTCCCAAAGTGCTGGGATTACAGGCATACACCCCTGTGCCTGGTGGTCTGTATCAGTTTCTATAAATTTTGCTGCTCCCAAGTTTTTGACCCTCATTTATCTTATAGTCTAAAAATACTTTCAAAAGTAGTAAAAAAAAAAAAAAATTCAGTCAGCTCATCTTCATATTGGCTTTGTTATAGCCAATGATTCTCTGCTCCTCAGGTAAAACAAAGCAGTCTACCGAATCTTTCTAAAGTAGCAATGCCTAGTCCGTAATGTCTACTCTTTAAGTAGTATTTCCATAATTATTACGTCTTGACATAACCTAATCATTTAGTTATGAATATCAAATATCTCCTAAGTCAACTGATTTGTCTCAATGAATTTATTAAAAATAAAGACGCATTTGTTAAAAATCCCTATTATTCCAATATACGATTTAAAACATTTTCTTCTAAAATATTTAGCTCTTATAGTAAAAATCCTGTCTGGAAGACCTAGAAATGTCCTGCTGTAGCTGAAATACTAAATCAAAACTTAACTGTTGTTGAAAAATAACAAACATGCCCCATTTTATTTTAAATGAACTACAAATGTCTCCAATATATAAATAATGGGAACCTGAAAAACGGAAAATATTTCTGAATCTAATAACTCCTTTTTGAAAGTAAGTGACATGATTAAACATCACTTTTCTACATATGTGGTGTGACATTTTCATTTTGTTCCAAGGTATTTTACTTTTTGTGTGACTCTTGAGTTTGTAAACATGCCATAATATTTGGTGATTATGTAATGATGATTTCATGGTTCTAGCTTAGTATAAAGGTAGCTCGACAGAGCAGGAAATCGATTTCCTTTTTTCCTTTGTGGAAAGAGACAAAGGAAATTGAATGCAAAATTTCCATTAAGACCATAATAGAAATATGACTCAACAATCTGTTAACACATGAAGTGGAAACCAGGTGTATCCAAGTGTTCGTTATTGTGCTATTATATTCAGCCAATGGGTTAAGTTCAAACAACCCTTTGTTTAACCCATGCCATGTTGTTACCCACAGTGTTCCAAATGCCTGTGACCTGACAATATCTCTTGTTGTCTCCTCTTGCCAAAGGTACTCAGAGGCAGGACTGTCCCTAGGCAAAATCGTGAAGTAGGTGAATCTTGTATTCATTCCCTACCCTTTTGCAATGACAATCTCACCTTAGATTCTCTCCACCTCCCTTTCCCAAGGAACCTACTCTAGTTACTCATTCCTCTGGATTTACCCTCTGTTTTCCAGGGAGCTCATGCTAACTCCTGTTGCCCAATTACTCTTTGAGTGTATAATGTCCCTGCTCAGAAATACTCAGTAGCTCCCCAAGAGGAGCTGGGCAATCAAGATCCTCCATCCTTACCTTTTGAGTCTTATTTCCCACTCTCCCTTCCACATGTTCTACTGAAAATAGCTCACTCGCCTCTCCATTTTTATTTACACACTTTTTTTTCCATCTATTTCTTTTGCCTGAGCTGACCTTGACCTCTCCTCTCCATCTATGGAAATCCTAGTCCTCCTTCAGGGCTCTGCTCAGCTGTACCTCCCTACATGCCTTATCTGATCACCCCCAGCCTCTCTCATCTGCACCCCATCCATCCACTCATATAGCACTTAACACATATTGCTTTGTATTATAATATTTATGTATGTGTCTTGTCTCCAGGCACTGTGCTGGGCGCTTTACAAACGTAATCTCTTTTAAATTTCACAACAATCTGATGAGGTAGGTATTATTAAACCATTTAGCAATTGAAGAAACTGAGGCTCAAATAGGTTAAATAATTTGCCCAAAGTCACACTGCTACAAAGTAACAGAGCTAGAACTTGAACTCAGGTCTGTCTGATTTCAAAACATATGATTTCCACTGCATCCTACTGATGTCAATTCCTTTCCGTCTTCTGAATGATAGGATGGGGGTTTAAGATGAAGAAAGAGGTCAACTAAGATTTTTTGCTTAACAAATGTGTGTAGAACAAAGATATTTTATTGACAATTACTCTATTCCTAGCTAGAATTGATCAGTTAGCTAGAATCCATGAGAAATTCAAGAAAATATTTTTATCTTAAGCGACCAGAACAAATAAGCATGATAAAAAGAGAATGTTCAAGATATTTTATAATTCAAGAGGGACTAGATAGCATTGGTCTCTCTGAATGCTATAGGAAAATAAATACAAGGAAAAAGAAGTAAATGTGGGGTTGACTAGGGAAGGCTTCCCATAAGTCCCCAGGACTTACACAATTTGAGATAATTAGTAGACTGAAGATGTGACTATTATCCTAAATCTCTCATGCACTAATAGTATCTCTATTAAATGTAAAGCCCGCCTGATTTAATCTGCCTGTAGTGCCGCATCTTGGATAAATTAGGGGTGAGAAGCTTAGTGTTCCTAAGAGGGAAATCTAATTCCAAATAGACTGCTTTTTACAACTGCCCTTCCCAGTACCTGAGAGCAGGGAGTTTCAACTAAGCCCTAGACAGCTCCATTCTATGCTCCCTGTACAGCCAACTTCTAGCCAGTCATGTGGCAGAGCCTTCATCCCTGGGAAGAATTTAAACTTAGAATCTCTGTTCTTTTTGACACCACTATCTTTTTGCCTCTCCCATGATAAAAAGCTACAACCTTTTTTTCATTTCTGCTGTTATATTCTCTTCTCATTTCTCAGTCCCCCAGCTTTGTCGTATTACCAGTTGCATGTTTCTTTAACGTGAATGAGATCCTTAAATTTAAAGAGGTCATGCAGTTATCATTAAACGTGTGTTCTCAGTGCACCTCTGTTAACTTCTGACAGTCATTTCGATTCTGTTTACAAATTCTGTTTCAATTTACGTACGCTCCCTTATACCAGTTCCATTCATAGATGGCTCTACACTATTGTTCCTCATACCAATCTTCATCATAATTTAAAATTTATTATTTATGGAAACAATGCATGTAATCTAAGCTAGAAAGCATCGGTTTGTACTGTATATCAGGCCCCGTGTTAGAAGCTTGAGAATTTTCATGTCAATTATAATCTAAATTTAAGGAATTCAATGAGCCCAACAAGAAAACCACCCTCAACCACAATGGAAAAATTAACTCAAACGGGAAAGATATTTTGCTTTCTTTAAAATGTCTATGGTTTCTTATCCTCTACAAAAGTCTTCATAGCTCTTTCACTTTATTTTCTAACTTTTTATTTTGAAGAATTTATAGACTCACGGGCAGTTACAAAATAAATGTACAGTGAGGTCCTGTTTAACTTTTACCAAGTTTCTCCCAATTGTTTTATTTTAAGTAGTTATAGTACACAATCAAAGCCAGGACATTGACGTTGGTCTAATTCAGTTTTAAATTTGAAAAAAGAAAAAAAAATCCACCCTAAAGATATCGTGGGCTGTTTTAAATTACATTCAACATTGTAAGCTGTGTAAGTATTAACCATGCGGACCGTCCTGGTAAACAAAGGATGGTATGCCCATATGGCCAAAGAGAAACTGTCCCCTTGTTGTCGGCTGTGATACTCAGGCCTAATTTAATTGGGCCAGTGTCATAGCCAATGAATGGAAAGGAGCCCTATCAGAAGACTTGGGTTGAAATCTGGCTCTGCCTCCAAATGTGTGACTTTGAGCAAGTCATTTGACCTTTCCAAGCTTCAGTGTCTTCAGCTATACAATGGAGAAAATATTCCTCCTGCCTACTTCATAGGATTGTTGTGAGGATCAAATGTGAGGATGTACATGAAGGAACAAGGTAGACAGTGAATCAGCACTCATGAAATTTATATTCTTTTCAGGAACTATGTCCAGTTATAGAAGTGTGCTTTTTCGGAGGTGGTCTTATTCCTAAAAACAAAACAAAACTACCTCCTTATTAACCATGTGTTCTAGAATTTCCATCATATGTAAATAACCTACCCTTTCTATCACTCTTATTAAGATAAGAAATAGCAATATATCAAACAAGCACTCTGGAATCATTACCTACAAACCCCTTAAGCATATGATCTATTTTTAAATAAATACTTTTTAAACATTTTCTCCTTTAAGATTAAATGCATTTTAAGTAGCTTTTATTTTTATCCTAACTGCAGGATTCACTCTTACTTTTTTATCATGCCATGAGATGTACAATAAGTGTTCTGACAATAGTGTGAAATTATAAGAATGTGAGGTTAGACAGTGGATGTTTTAAGAAGTAAAAATGGAAATCACCCAAGCTGCCTTGTTTCTTGGTATGTCTGGATATATAATATAAACTCCCAACTCACTGGTATATTCTGGTTTGTGGATAGTAAAACTGCTAGTCTTGGCAGTAAGAGTAGAGATATATATAGGAGAAAATAAACTTAAATCATGGAAAGCAATGATAAGAGTCTTTGTGTGTACTAAATATTTTGGGCACCACAATAAAAATGTTAAGATCTGTTTTCTTCCCTCTTCATCCTTTATACAGGCTGGCATGGCTTTGACCTATGACCCCACAGCTGCCATACAGAATGGGTAAGTAGATCATATTTTCTCTATTTTGATTGTGAATAGATCTTTGAGCTCTGAATCAATACCAAAGAGAAATGTTCAAATTTGTTTTGCTTTTGTTTTACATCCTTAAACACAAACTTTAAACCAAGCATTTTTCATCATAATTTTTTTCTTCCTCTAAATTATTCTAATCTCATAGTCTCACAATGCCTCTGTCCACATTAAACTCTATTCCTTCTCTCTCTCTCTCTCTCTCTCTGTCTCTCTCTTTTTCTCTGTTTTCAGAGAGGAGGTAAAGCTAGGCTGAGAGAAGAATATATCTAGAGTTAAGCCTTCAAACACTTTTTGGTGTGTACCCAGATCAATTTATTTTTTCTTTCTGGTGATCAGAGGAATGGTAATGGAGGAAAGTCAAGTTAGTAACTGAGGTGATTACATCTTCATTTTAATAGGCATCTGGAAATTCACATCCACTTACTTAGAACAAGTCATATAGCTTAAATTTCCTCCTCTGAAAAATAAGTGTGAAACAACATGGTATATCATCTCTAAAATTCTGTAACTTCTAAATATCTTTCACTGAAACTTTCTTCTTCCTAATCTCTTTGCTGAGGCTGTTTGCAATTGACAATAATAATTCTTTGGTTGGTTCCTTATTTCTTTTTACTCTCTTTTATTTTGGAAATTCTCCATGACTTTCAGTTATTTTTCAGTTTCATTAATGAATCAATCATGATAAATGCCTCACTGAAGATCAACATAGAGGGTAGAATGAATTAAACTTCATGTTCTATTTGTTCTATTTGGTCACTTGCCTCTAAGAAAAATCTGTAGGATATTGAAAGTATTTAAATAATTACCTCTTATTCTGGTATCATTCATTCAGGCAGTCATATATTCAGTCATTCAACAAACATCCAGTAATTATCCCAAGCACAATGCTATGTTCTATAGATTTAAGAAAACAATGTATGATATGAGGCCCCTTCCTTCAAGAGGCTCACAGTCTACTTGTCCATGAAAAAGTAAACATTAATGATAGACCAGGGTAGGAGTCTAATCCTTTGTCCTTGAGTTGGTTAAAATTTCCCTCTAGAATTGAAAATTAAGGATATCTTTTCATATGTCCTACAGGCATTTACTTATTTCCAACAAGGTGCTATAAACTTAGTGTGCAAAAAGAAGTAAAGACAAGGAGAAGAAAGTCCTCTAGAATCAGATTGTATAGTTGGAGATAAATAACTCAAAAAGTAACAAATAAGGCATTGTATATTAAGTGGTAGTGAATGAAAATAGATGTTATAATGAAAAGGAATGACATTTATTGAACACATATTCTGTGAAAAGTACCTTACATTTATAATTTAATGAGACTTGGATTCAAATGAATACATGTGATTAAAATTAGAAATTTATATTGGAAATTTACACAAAGGAAAATAGAAACAATAGTTCAAAGGATACCTGTATGTCGACTAACTAGATTCAATAAGTATTTTATAATATTTTACATGCATGCATATGTATGCATGTATGTGTTATGTATATATATATATGTATCTCCTAACTATAGTATGTATCATGTATCTATCTATCTATCTATGGTATATATATATATATGTATCTACATGTAAAGTGTACTTAGTTGCCCAAGGGTCTATATCAAGGATTAGAGATGCAGCGGTGACCAAGACATAACTTTTTTTTGCATTTATTAAGCTTCAATTGTTAAAGGTAGAAATAAAATAATCTTTAACTTTTATACATAATCATATAGTCAATTATTAAATTACAATTGTGTTAAGCATTTTTCATTAGAACTATAGATACTTTTTGCTGGACCATATCAAAGTAAAATTTAAACATCATAATATTTCTAATTTCTTACATCTTCAAAAATAAAGACATTAGTCACATGATGACAATATCATTATCACACAAAATGAAATCAGTTCTAATTTCAAAATATCGTCTATTATCCAGATTATTTTTCAACTTTTTTCAGTTGCCCCAAAATGTATTTTACAGCTGGATGACTCTGAAGCAAAATCTAAAAGTCACATCAAAATATCTTATATGGATTATTTCATTTGCTTAATAAATTCCTTTTGGGTGAGTGTTAATGTCCCATTTACAGATAAGAAAATGAGGCCTTGCAGTCAGAGGTAGAGCAGGGAATCAAACGCCAGTCTGTAACACTAAATAGAGCCTGCTGTCTTTGTCCAGGTAGGACAAAGGGAAGGCTATATCTATATGGAATTGATGAGATTTGACATAGATTATCCAGAATGACTTAGTTTATCAAGGCTAGACATAGGGAAAGATGCTTATTGAGAAAGTGGACTGGTAGGAACGGAAGTGGAGTTTGTAGGGATTAACAACAAGTTTTACTGGGGTGAAAGTTTCTTGTGGAGGAGTTTTGTAAGTTTAAAAGTTTTCTTGGTGCCAGATTTAGAATTTTAAGTATTTGGTTTTTACTTCATAAGGCTGGGGAGTAATTATTGTTTTTATTTAGCAACAGAGTGGTATGATATAAATAATAAAGAATATATTGGAGCAGGAAGAGCCTCTTAGTAGGAAGCATCACTAAGGGGATATTTAAATAGTCCAGTGTGAATGGAAGAAAGAAACCAAAAGGAGAGACAACCTGAAAAAGCTTTTCAATCATGCATTAAGCAAGTGGCCATCAAACAATCCTATGTTCAAGCTTCTCCATCAAGGGCTGGGGACATACTGGTGAATAAGACACACCCAGTCTTTACTCTTCTACACTGTAGCAGGAAATCAACATTAAAAGTATTTTATGACTTATATACTATAAGCACCCAGTGGTGAAATGCAGGGTGTTATAAAGCGTATAGTCTTGCTTGAGTGGTTAAAACTTCTCTAAACAAGTGATGCCTTTAGCTGAGCTCTGACAACATTTAATGAAAACTGGATGTTATATCAGATGGCAAAAGAGAGAAACAAAAGGGACCCTGAAGATTGAATCCTAGAAGGACTGGTGTACCAGCAGCAGAAACACAAGGAAATAAAGGGAAGACAGATGATGATATGGCTAGGCTTTGTGTCCCAACCCAAATCTCATCTTGAATTGTAATCCTCATAATCCCCACGTGTCCAGAAAGAGAGCAGGTGGAGGTAATTGAACCATGGGATGATTTTTCCCCATGCTGTTCTCATGATAGTGAGTTCTCACAAGATCTGATGGATTTCTAAGGGGCCCATCACCCTTTGCTTGGCACTGACTCCTTCCTGCTGCCTTGTGAAGAAGGTGTCTTGGTTCCCCTTCACCTTCCAGCCATGGTGAACTATGAGTCAGTTAAACCTATTTCATTTATAAATTACCCAGTCCCAGGCAGTTCTTTTTAGCAGTATGAAAACAGACTAATATAGATGATATACTCAATTTCAAACATACATGAATAATGTCTCACTAAGACTCACTAAGTCCCACTGAGACAAACTAAGACTCATTAAGACAAAAAGATCCAAGTCAGCGGTAAATTTGAACTGAAGGTAGGAAATGATAACTTCTTATGCATGACTTTAGTCAGTCATTCTCCAATGCACAATCTAAAATTCTGCAAAGACAAAATTTCCCAAATACTCACCCTCAGTTATTACAAATTTACAGGAAAAATAAATCGAGGTTTCAACTCCTAATCTGAGAAATCAAAGGTGAACTTTGGGCTATGCAATGTTCAAGGCAGTGCAGACAGCCTAGAGCACAGTGAAAATTTCTTTTTTCCTCAATGTCTTCACCTCACATTTCAGGTTGCCACCTGGACCATACTGAGGTCACTGTAGGTACATCTGTCAACCTTAAATCACCTGAAATATAAAATGTCTTTATCTATAACTTATATTAACAATGTAACACTGTATCCCTAAACTATTAGTCCATTGAAATTGGGCATATTATCTTTCCTCACTTTATTTTCTTGTCTTCCTGCTAATGGTAGCACCATTCCCTCTCTTCAGTACTTTCTGTCCACCAAATATTCCTGCCCACTGTTACTAATCTTTCTCAGGGTTTGATCTTTTCTCACTTTCTTTCTTCTCTCTAGTTGTTCTCATCTACCTCTCTTGCTTTCAGGAAAGTAGGACTCCCAAGTCTGTACTTCAAGTGTGTAACTAGCTTCAGAAATGGATGACCTGTTTTCTAGCTTATTAGGTATTGCTGCTAGATATCTTTGTTCCAAACCGAGGTCATTATCCTCATTAATACTTCGTAATATAAACTACGCAAATTCAAACTAAACGCACATATCAAATTTTGTTTTCCTTTGTTTTAAGTTCTCTCTAAAGCCATTTAGGCTACGATCTCCACTCCTCTAGACTCTCTCTTATCCTACATCCTTCACAATCAAACTGGTCATTAAGATTTGTGCAATCAATGTCTGATGTGTATCTTCGACCCAGCTCTTCCTCCTTGCCACTGGTTAAATTTATTCAATTACCATTTCCTGCCTATACTAAGCTTTTTACTACCTTTAATATACCTCCTTCCGCAAACAATTTTCACATTCATTTTGAATGACTTTTAAGCAAATATAATTACAGAAATCACCTACCTCCCTGGTTTAAAGTATAAAATGGCCTCTACTAATTACAGGAAAACATGCAAACTTCTTCAGATAGTACGAAGAGAACTTCATAATTTGGTTACTGCAACTGAACTGGACTGTGATTGTCGGAACATCTCATGCTACTTTGCACCTCTGTGTCTTGTCGAACATGGAATTCTCTCTGCTTGAGTTCTCATGTGGTAAAACTCACTCCCCACGATCCCACCACCACACACACATATACATGCACACACACATACTTTTTAAAAATACTATTTTCATTTCAAAAACATCATCAAATCGTACCAGGAAGAGCTAGTTATACTACTGGTCACAAGAAAAACAGCTTAAGCAATGGTTAAGAGTGAAAACTTCAGAACCGCCCTGCCCAGGAATGATCCAAACTCTGTCATTTACCAGATATGTGATTATGGACCCATTGTCCATACT